TCTCCGGCGGCCGGCTGGATTTTCGCTCTCTGGTAGTACAGCTTTAGTACTGGAACCAGGGGGGCTCTGCTGGAAGAGGCCAGCGCCTTTAAAAAATATTTTGAGCCAGGTCCGAGGCCCGCGCGGGTTGCCATTAATCAGAGGGGGTTTATTAATCAAGAGTTGACATTAAACCCTAAGCCCCTCAACCCCTAAACCCTAAACCCCTAAACCCCTAAACCCCTAAACCCTAAGCCCCTAGACCCCTAAACCCCTAAGCCCCTAAACCCCGAAACCCTATGCTACAGAACCCACGACCCTCGACCCTCGAACCATTAGCCCGACTAAACGGTGGTCCATCGAGGCTGCAGGGTTCAGGGGTTCAACCTGAGCTACCAAAACCCTACCTTTTTTTTGGTAGGGTTTAGGGTTTTAGGGGGTTAGGGTTTTAGGGGTTTAGGGTTTAAAGGGGTTCAGGGATTTAGAGTTTAGGGTTTAGGGGTTTAGGGTGTAGGGGTCCCCAAAAACTCTGCAGTTCCGGGTTTCTCATAAGAACCTACCAAAATCTGGGGCTATTCTGGGTTACCCTAGTGCTCGAAATAGCCCGAAAGCCTCATGTGGCATGGTCTTTGGGCCCAACGGCCTGAAAATATGAGTCCGTAGAGCCTTGGAGTTATAGAAACCCCTAAACCAACCCTAAACCCTAAACCCTCCCTCATTGGCCCTCAAAAAAAACACTCCCTAATTTGAGTCCTTAGAGCCTTAGGGTAAGATGTCCGGCTCGGGGCTCGTGGTTTAGGGTTTAAATCGCAGGGGTTGGGGTTTAGGGCTGAAGGCAAGCTTAAGGTAGGGAGTTTAGGGTTTAAGGCTTAACTTAGGGCTTTTTAAGGTTGAGGGTTTGTGGCTTTGGGGGGCTTTTAGGGTTTAGGGTTTAAGGTTTTTAGGCTTTTTTTTAATGGTTTAGGGCTTTAGGGCTTGGGGGGGGCACAGACCCGCACAGTGCAGACTGTTTGGGCTCGGCAATGCCTGTCGCCAGATTGCCTTGGTCCATGGTGTTTCGGACAGCGGGATCATTTTCCGGGTGTAAAGTAGGATGCACAGTCAAGGCAATACATTAGGTTTTGAGGTGTAATGTAGTGGTCAGACCCTTAAGGACGAAATGACCCCTAAAAGTAGGGGCCCTATACCTTTATATTATGAATTCCTATATGGTATATGAACCTTCCCTAAACCCTAAACCCTAAACCCCTAAATCCTAAACCCTAAACCCTAAACGAGCCCTTTTGGGGTTCATTTCGTCCTTAAGGACTGGAGATCTAGTGGTTCAGACTTTCGGAGCTTGGCCTCCCAGAGACCATTGTCGCAGATGGACTCGTCAGCTTTATAGGGTTCAGGGTTTAGGGTTTAGGGTTTAGGGTTTTATGGTTTAGGGTTGTAGGGTTTAGGGTTTAGGGTACTCGTCAGCAATGTCGGTACAGGTCACAGTTTCCCTCCTCAGCGGCAAAACTGTTTCCATCGATGTGGACTCCACTTCCTCCGTCGGAGAACTTCGCAAAGACGCTCAGAGCCAGCTAGGCATCGGGTCGAGTCGCTTGATGAGAGCAGGCCCGGAAGAGCTAAGGCATGCGATGACCGTGCAGGAAGCAGGTCTAGTCAATGGGGATGAGCTGCAGTTGATTCGGAAACAGCTAGAAATCTCTAGTCGCCGCGGAAGTGCCGGTTTTGCCCTACTGAAAAGCGACGGCTCCGTGGTTACTTGGGGCGGACGCTTTGGTGCCAGCGACAGCAGTGCGGTTCAGGGGCAGCTGCAGAACGTGCAGAAGGTCCAGGCTTCGTGTGCCTCATTCGCTGCACTGCTGGACGATGGATCCGTGGTGACTTGGGGGAGAGCTGTTGATGGCGGTGATAGTAGCCAAGTTCAGCACCAATTAAAAGGCGTGCGGAAGATTCAGGCTTTCGATTGCGCGTTTGCTGCGATTCGTGATGACGGATTCGTCGTCACCTGGGGCGACCCCAGTGTCGGTGGCGATAGCAGCCATGTGCAGCATCAGTTGAAGGATGTACGGCAGATCCAGGCTTCGTTACATGCCTTGGCGGCCTTGTTGGGTGATGGATCTGTGGTAACTAGGCGGAGCTTTGGGACACTCTTAACGATTTCCCTTGTGGTCCTCTAGGGGTACCTTGTCATAAACACTTTCGAAACCCCATAACGTACAACCCAGGTAACCTGGGGCGATCCTGATGGTGGTGGTGACAGCAGCCGAGTCCGGCATCAGCTGATGCATGTGATTGAGCTCCAGGCAGCTTACAACGCTTTTGCAGCTCTGTTGGCTGATGGATCAGTAGTGGCCTGGGGGGATCGTGAGCTTGGTGGTGACAGTAGCAGTGTCCATGACCGGCTGAAAGACGTCAAGCAGATTCAAGCTTGTTCAGGCGCCTTTGCTGCGATCCTGAGTGATGGATCTGTTGTGGCTTGGGGGGAGCCAGAGAACGGTGGTGATACTAGTGCCGTGCAACATCAGCTGAAGGGCGTCCAGCAGATCCAAGCTTCATTTATTGCGTTTGCTGCCATTCTGGAGACCGGCGCCGTCGTCACCTGGGGAGATCCCGAAAGCGGAGGCGACAGCAGTGCCGTTCGGAGTGAGCTGACGGATGTGCAACAGATACAAGCCTCGAAAAAGGCCTTCGCTGCGATTCGTGGCGACGGCTGCGTCGTGACCTGGGGACAGGCAGACTTTGGCGGTGATAGCAGCAGCGTGCGATCGCAGCTGCAGAACGTACAACAGGTTCAAGCCGCCGATGCTGCGTTCGCTGCACTTCTCGCGGACGGGTCTGTTGTGACGTGGGGCGACCCGGCGCGTGGCGGGGATAGCAGCTACGTCCAGCACAAGTTGAGAGACGTTCGGTGCATCCAGGCCTCTACGGCCGCCTTCGCCGCGCTTCTTGCGGACGGATCGATCGTGTCCTGGGGCGACCCCTGGGCTGGTGGCGACAGCAGTCTGATCTACGGAGAATGGGAGACCCCGATGTGAGGACTGTTGCCTTCATGACGGTTTCGGAGCAAAAGGACAGGGTGTGTCGGGTTAGCACTTGGTCATTGGAGCTAGTTTCAGAGAGTTTCACTGGTTCAGATCGGTTCAGGGCTTCGCAAATCTTCATGTTTAGGGAAGTTGTGGGTTGAGGGTTTAGGGCTTTTAACCGTATTGCAAGCTCTACTTCGGGCTTTGGGTCTGTAGCCTACTTCTATCGACCCTTACACTTTCAATTGCCGTTTAAGCCCTTGTAGAATATCCTGAGACCCACTGCAAACGCATGCACATTTGCGGAGTTGCCAGGAGGGCCTCTCCACCCTAAACCCTACAAGCCCTAAACCCTAAGCCCGAAACCCTGAACCTCAAGCCCTAAACCCTAAACTTAACCCTAAAGATGTAGGGGTGTTGCGGCTGGTTGGGGGCTTGGGGTTTAGCGGGTTTAGAGTAACCGAAGCTACCAGAAAGCTACTTTCTTGTGGGCACTTATAACAATAAGTATATAACCCTTTATAAGCCCTAAACCGTTATAATGAAACCCGAAGTGTCAGAGTGTTAAACTAGGGGTGTTTTGATAGGTTTCTGTAGGAGGAGCCTCCGGGTTCCAGAAAGCTTCGAACGCCTTACTAAAACCCTATAAACCCTAACCCCAAAACCCTAAACTCTAAACCCTAAACTACCGAAGCCATCACGGGTTTTCAGGGAGTTGTCGGGTGAACAGTTGGGGGTTTTTACGGTTTAGGGTTTGGGGTGTCGGGTTTGGGGTTTAGGGTTTGGGGTTTAGGGTTCGGGGTGTCGGGCTTAGGGTTTAGGGCAAAAGGCCTTGAAGAACCGAACCCTGCAGACCGCATAGAGGGCCCTTTGTTGGAGCCTGCTGAGGATCCTGAAAGGAGCTTTTGAAGGAGACTTTCGGAATTCCTTAGAGAGTTTAGGATTTAGGGGTTGGGGTTTTAAGGTTTAGGGGTTGAGACGGTCGACGAGCAGGCGGCGCTTGCCTATGCGCATGAGGCAGCCCACGCGGGGACCGCGGCAGCTAAGCCGTCTGTCCGTCCGCTCCTGGCGCGGAAGCGTGCTGAGCCAAAGGCGCCAGCGACCCAGGCCCGCCAGCCCAAAGCAGCCGAGGGCATGCAGGCCGAGATTGGCCGAGATCGTCGAGGATGCCAAAGCGGCCGGCGGGTGAGCTGAGCTTGGGCCGGCAGGCAGAGTGGGAAGCCTATGTCAGGAGGCTGGTGAGCAAGGTGTGTTCCGCAGCTGAGGTGCCCACGGTGAAGCGGGCCCTGCTTACTCTCCGAGAGCTCCAGCACTTTCAAGCGGCGCGCGGCCGCGACGGGTTGGAGGCTGTCGACAGAGTGCCACCAAGGCTGCAGAGAAATCTAAGCACAGCCAACCCCTCAGACTCTTCGTGCCTTAAGGGCCACCTTTGAGTTGGTCAAAGCTACCCATATAACGGACCGCCCAAAGGAGCGGCTTAGGGTTTTATGACAGCAATCCTTAAAGGAACCCTTGCAGAAACCTCTGAAGGAGGCATTGAAGGAGCTCTGAAAGAACCCTAAACTTTAAACCTTAAACCCCTAAACCCCTAAACCCCTAAACCCCTAAACCCTAAACCCTAAACCCCTAAACCCCTAAACCCGGAAAGCAACCCTAAACCCGGAAAGCAACCCTAAACCCGGAAAGCAACCCTAAAGGAACCCGACCCTGGGGGAGAACCCAAGCCCTAAAACCCCGAAGCCCCAAACTCTAAAGCTTCTTTAGAGGAACCCCTAAACCCTGCCCCCCTCTTTATGGGTTTCTTTAAGGCGGGTTTAGGGTGTAGGGTTAAGAGTCAGGGCTTAGGGGTTCCTTTAAAGGGGGTTTTAGGGTTGATAATGCCGCTAAAGGAAGACGTAAGCCCTTAAAGGAGCCCGTAGGAATCCTTCAGGAAAACCCCAACGGGAACAGCCCCAAAACCGAAAACTAGCCCCCCCTAGTCCCCAAAAGCTAAACCGAACCCTAAATCCGCCCTTAAACGAAGCCCTAAACCCAAGCCCCTAAACCCTAAACCCTAACTAATCCCGAAACCCCTAAACCCTAAACCAAAAATCAAACCCGATAATTAAACCCTACTTAAACCCTAACCCCCCCCTTCCGAAACCTTAACATCTCCTTTCAAACACCTAAACCCTAATTAAACCTTAACCCCTAGTTAAACCCTAAACCCTAAACCCGAACTAAACCCTAAACCCTAAACCCGAACTAAACCCTAAATCCTAAACCCGAACTAAACCCTAACCCTCAACCCTAAACCCGAACTAAACCCTAACCCC